TGCCTGAAAACCATCAGCCACATTTGCCAGGATGCATCCGTAAGAGATGACTATCGGGAATGCTCTGCAAACCAGACCTAGCTAGTTATAAAAGATAGAAAAGATAGATTGCTCAAATCCCCAGCTCCCGAGGAATGCTTGCAGCCAGGCTGGCTCAGGGAGCACACCCAAGCTGGCACCAGGGCAAGACTACTCCCCCTGGGCAAGCGGGACTCCCAGGGTCTGCACTAACAGGTACCAGTGCGACAAAGCGGCCTGTGAAACATTTACAAAGACTTCCCTCTAGACAGATTCTCTTCTAGCTCTTCACTTCAAAGTGAAGCGTGGAATAAAGCAAACCCACTAGTTTGCTTTTCCATATCGTAGCTTATAAACAACTCTATACCTGGGAAATAACACCATCCTTTGTCAAGCCTTGTAGCAAAAAAGTTGAATCAAACGCAGTAGCATAACCACATCAGAATACTGTACTTCATGAATATTTTATTCAAGATAATGACTGATCTCCCTGCCAGTAGGGTCTGCTGCTGGGAAGTGGTTTCAGGAGAACAATGATGCTCCTATTTTAACGCAGAGATTGAAACTTCCTTATGCTGGGCCAAAAATTACCCAGCATGTCCTGGTGAGATTCCCAGCAAGTTTTGCATGTTAAGACTTACATACTGCAGCTCAGAGTTAACTGAATGTGTCAGTAGTTCAGCACTCCTAGCTGGAGTCAGAGACATCTGACTCTTCCGAATGTGCCGCTAGGATGGGACTTCAACACAGTTGTGCTTCCAAGTGCCTGGGAATAAACTGAGCACAGCTGTTTGCTATCTCAGCACTACAAAGACCTGACAGAACTTTCTGAGATACTCAGTTTTTCTTGAAAACATTTTACTACTTTGAAGATGTGTGTGCACTGAGTAAATCTACTTATTATAGCCCAGTTTGAGATTCCTCTACAATGAGAGGAAAAGGTTTACATTTTGAAGCAACTCTGCCTGATTCAGAAGGCTTAGAGACCTGTTTTTTCACCTTTGTTTCAGAAACACAAACAAACCGTGCACCCTGCATTTGGATACAAACTTTGATTCATTAAAACTTACAGGAATTTCAAAATTAAGATCCTTCCACCAGTCACCATCCTGGCTGGGGTTTCATCCCATTTTGTTTGGTTGTTTTGAGTTTTTTGGAGGTTTTTTTTCTTTTTTAATCTTAGCAAAAGAATAAAAGAAAGAAAACTCAGATGTCAAATGTAAAGGTTAAAGAAGATAATCACATGGAAAATCCTCGTGAGTACCCTGAAGCAACTGGACATGCCTCTTGCACCAGCTCTGTAGCTGGTCAGTTATTGATTCATTCATCTTGAAGCATTTCAGACTCAAATATAAATGGAAATCAGCGAGAGAGTCAAACTGCCAGATAGCACTTTCTATGGAGAGAGAACATTTCTTATTGTTGTAAAACTCTTTTCCCAGATACACATTTTATAAGATCAAGAACAAACCAAAGACACAACAGCCTTTACTGACAGCTCAGCTGTTTAAAAATGCCACCACTTAGACTACAAAGCCAAATTTTATCCTCTGATGTAAACACAGACAATTCCATGGGGATTAAGGAATTCGCACTTGTTTAGGCCACATCTGAACCACGCTGCCTATGTACATGTGCATTATGTCCATCAGGGCTCCCAGACCATTTATTTCTGGGAGAGTATGCTGGGAGTGCAAGATGGGAACACAATGCTTCTAAAAGTGACTTACTGGACAAGGAGGAGTATTAAGGTTGTGCGGAGGTACAGCTCCAACCTCTCACTGTGTATTATAAAACTCTTCCTGCTAAAATGTTTGGTCAGAAGAAAAAATACTCTCCTTGTTGAGATTTTAGCTACGTACCTTAATGTCCTTTCGGAACACACCGAGATAAAGCAGAGCTGGGACTTGGGGGGTGGGGGGCGGTCTGGTTTGTTCACTAGCTCAGAACCTCATTTCCCCCTCCCATACACATGTACACATGAGACAGGATAACATTCAGCCTTGAGAAGCTGCCTGCAGCTCTCCGAGGAGAAGCAGTAATGAGGCAGCAGGAACAGCAGTACCCGCTCTGTGCAGCTCCGCTTCCCTTCCTGCCTGAACTCAGTAGGATCAAAACTGCAGCGTCACCACGAGGCTCCTCGGCTGACAGCCTGGCAGCGTTAAAGGCAGATGTCACAACAACTGCTTCATTCTACTTCTTGTACAGGGAGGAGAAGGGAGAGAACTCATCTAATGGAGAGGCAAGAATTAGCTTTTATAAGACCCGCTGATAAAATGAGACAAGAAACAGTGTCAGTTGCTGGCACACTAGCCCTTGTGCAGATCTGAAGCAGGGGGGGCAATCACTGCACTAAGTAACGCAAGGGCAGGCTGAAATTAGATACAGGCTGATATTATATGACTAGAGCACAACAAACTCATCCTCACAGTACCAGAGTGCCGGGAAATAATTTTCATGGTTAGCTAATCATTCAGCACCACAGCAGGGTCAGCGTGACTACAATAATTTCTAAGAACAACCAACCCAACTTATTCTTTAATGTCTGCAGTAAAGAAGATAACTATGTGGAAAAAAAACCCTGTTTACTGCTTAATCTCCTTTTCCATTTGATACTTTCCGTCACTGTCTAATTTAAATCTCTCTGCTGTGATACCAGGGGAAGGAAAAAACCCAAAACTGTATCAGAGAGCTGAAGTTGTAGAAAGGAAATTTGGATCAATAATAAAGAAGTGGTCAGAAGAATAATTGGCTTGATGTGAGAAGACCTACAATCCTCTCAAGGCGGGGGGGAAAGCAATAGGTTGAGAAGTGCTAGGCTAGTGAGTCCCGGTCATATGGCAAAAAGATTCAGCAGAAATTAAGGTGATGGAGAAAGAAGGGAGCACAACACCGACCCTCTGGAACAACAAAATCTGAACCACTGGCAGTGGAGCTCAGAAGGGAGGAGCATGAATTGGTGACTCACTACACTGAAGGAGGCTCCCTCCAAGATATGCCCTCCCACCTCTTCCTGGATGGTCCTTTCTCTTGGGAGGCCAGCATGGATGGGGCTAATCAGAACTGTACCCAGAAGTATCTCACCAAGGCAAGCAATCACTCTCATTCATCTCAAGCTGAGCTATTACCCACACAGGTTGAAGGTCTGCTTTGAGCTACCAAGAAGCATTATCAGCTCAGAGCAGCCATCTGTGACACCACACCCCACTATCAAATTAAAGCTGATGCAACCCATGCTGGGAGCAGTTCCTTCAGGAACAATGCCTCCTGTGGGCTTTGCTATAGGAACGGGCACTTTGGGTGCCTGGCACCCCCTTGCTGTGACCACTATGCTGGGAGGATGCGGCTGGTACGGGGGTGGCTGTCCCTCTTTTGCTGGGACTGTCAGGGAGCTGGCCTGTGATGGGGGCTGGCTACAGGCATCATCTCCAGCATGGTCCAACGGGGATGAGCA